CACACACACATATATTCACCATCAAATTCATTTATTTAACATCTTTTTCTTTTTTGTTGAATTATCAGGTGAGAAAATGGAGTGCCCATCGGTCCAGTGGTAATTAAATACAAGCTAGCTAGGGTTTCATATTTAATTATCGTTAATAATTAAGTATTTATTTGATAAAGTAAACATATAAATTTTGCAGGCAGCTTCAAGTTGGCTATACATATATCCTGAAGGACTTCATGAGCTTCTGGTTTATACCAAGAAAAAGTTCAACAATCCTGTGATTTATGTTACAGAAAATGGTAATTTAATTTTAATTCACTGATGAGATTAAGACATTACAAAAATTTAAAATACATAGCTCTCAAATATATTTAGTTGGCTTTTTTCACTAATTTCATGAGGAATGAATCAAATTTAATTTCAGGAGTCGATGAAGCTAACACCGGCAAGATGGACCTTAATGACAAACTAAGAATAGATTATATCCAGAGCCATCTTGCTCAAGTCCAGAAAGCCATCAAGTAAGTAAATTTATTTTATACAATATATATAATAATTATGAAACTATGCTGATGAAATTAATTATGCTAAGTTATACAAAATTCCCTGAATATCCCTTTGATCTTTAAATTTTTACAAGGAACCCCCCAAACTGTCAATTTTATGCCACCAATTATCCTGTTATATCTCACTAACAGAGCACATGCATGCACCCTCTTAAAAAAAATTTCGTGCAAAAAAAAATCTCAAATTTTGAGTTATATTATTTTAGTGAAAAAATAGATAATTTAGTGACTTTATTGGAACATTTTAAAATTCATGACAAAAGGTTATCTACACATAACCCAATATTCATATTAATTTGTTTATTACTTCCTCCAATCTCAAATACAGGAGTTAGTTGAGGAATTGAATTTAATTATAAATATAAGATTTAAATTTACTTTGTCTCTTATATTTATCATTTTTCAAACTAATTTACCCAATTTATGATCATGTCATATTTATTATAACTAATTAATTTATTAAAATTTATATAAAATGCAGGGATGGAGTGAACGTAAAGGGATATTTTGAATGGGCATTATTAGACAACTTTGAATGGGCGGATGGATACAGTGTTCGATTTGGAATGGTTTATGTTGATTTTGATGATAAATCCCTTAAGAGGACCCCAAAGAAATCTGCTCATTGGTTCAAAAAATTCCTTCAGAACCATGAAGAAGGACGGGACAAACAATAAATTAATATTACATAATTATTATACTTACACACACGCAATAATGTAATATAATAATATATCTACATGAGATGCAAATTAACGCAGTATTGTCGCAAGAAAAAGCAAATATTGTAGTATAATATAACCATTTGAGGAGTTTTTTCTTTTTTAAAATTTTTGATGGTTGGCCCAAGATAATGGGTAGTGTTTTGCGAGATGTGCCTCTCCTTCTTGTATTTTTTTTTTTTTAAAAGGGAAAAAGTGCACAAATTTTTTACCAGTGAATACACCCAGCTCTTTTAATACATATATTATTTTTACGCAAAAAAATTTACATAAGTTGGGTCTCAGGAGCTTATTAGAGTTAGAACATACCTCCAAACTTAAAAAGTATTTACAGAAGTATTTATAGATCGCCCACCAATTAGATCATCACATCAGCAACAGGATTCAAATTTATGACCTTGTGAGTTGTAAATCAACTCCTTATCAATTGGATCAACTCTTATTAGCTTTTATAATACATATATTGAATAATGTTGATATTTTTTTATGATATGGATATTGAATTGTTGCCTAGTTTTATTGGTTGGAATGTTGGATCACCAATGTAACGGAGCCTGGATTTGGGCTGGCGAGTAGGCCCAAAAGGGAACTCATTAGTCAACTAATACTCTTTCTAGCTATTTATGTTTAACATGTTCAGAAGCAAAACTTAAACTTTTTGAAGTGAAAAACGTAACAGATAAAAATATATATACATATATGGTAATAATTAATTTTTCCTTTCTTCTTTATACTTACCTAATATTCAATGCTATCGATCCAAATTCGAGTATTATCATATTTATTTCCTTAATTGAAAGTATCTAAAATTTAGTTTAATTTAATATTTAATATATTTTGGTTAAAATAAATACGATAAAAACTTATTTTATTACTATATAAAATAAAATATTAGTGTAATGTTGAAGATAAATTTTTTATAGATTGAAGAGAAGTGATGTGAAAGAATGCAGCAGAAAAGGAAGGCGGGCTGAATCCTATAATTGCATTGGCATAGGCCGCAACCTGCAAACAATTGTATTGAGATTGCATATATATTACTCCTCCGGTCTTAATATAAGACTCATTTAATTAATTTGATTAGATTAAGAAATTAGGTAAGTTAGTTAATTATAAAAAAAAAGTGACACATTTTTCCTAAAACCCCATAATCATCTTTCTTAATACCCCCTCTCCCTCTTCTACTTGATTATAATTGAGGGAGTATCCATAGGGGTAATTTAGAGAAAATTGATAAATATGAAAAATGGGTCTTATATTTAGGACCAAAATCAACTCAAGAATTGGGTCCTATATTAAGGACCGGAGGAGTATATAGGTAAAATTACAGCTTTGATCTTTTAACTTTATATAAGGCTTTAATTTAGTCTCTTGATTTTGAAAAATATATTTTTAGTCTTTTAATCTTAAAATTATTTGTCTCAAATGATTATTTTTTTAATAATCATGATTCTTTTAAAAATTAAACTAAGTATGTTGACATTAGAGAATTTTTTATCAATATTTATAATCTCAATATCATCATTTTTTTATTAACGATGTTAGAGTTAAAAAATTTAAAATATATTTTTTAAAATTAAGGGACTTATATATTAATTTATTTTGTGAATAAATGGAATTGCTTGGTGAATATGGAGAGAGAGAAGGAAGTGAGAAAATGTAGGTCTTTTTTGGGGGGAGAAGAACAAGAAGGGATGTTGTGTGTAAAGAAGAAATGAAGGCACATGGAGGAGGGGGACATAAACTCACATGTTGTGCTCTCATTGCTATCTTCTCTTCAATCAATTAATGCAATTCCCACTTTTCTTTTTCTCTTTATTTGTTTCACCCTTCTCTTCTATTATCATCTAATATTATAGATTAATTAACATTAGCAATATCATTAATAGAGAAGTGATTTTATGTAATACAAAATGAATACATCTGAAGAGTCTTGCCTTATAAAGTATAAAAACACTTATTTTAAGTGGTTTGAAATTACTCCTCCGGTACTAAATATAAGACCCTTATACACACTAGTATATAAATATAAGACTCTTGTACACACTAATATGAGGGTCTTATATTTAGGACCAGAAGAATATAAATTAAATGTTATATTCAGGATCAGAAGTAGCATCCTATATAAAATTAAACTCTAATACTAGTGATAGATGATAATGCTTCATCCCTTGCAAAATGTAGTTCAATTCTGATCTTAAAGGGGGAAATGCATTTGCACATATACATGTTTTATTAATCCCGTCAAAGTGCAAAGAATTTTTGTTTGACCAGGGAGAATCAACAAGCTCTCTCTTATATATGCATGTGTGCGTGTGTGTGGATATTATACACACTCACAGTCACACATGTTATTACCTGCAAAAGGTGGGCTTCGACGGTTGAAACTCACATGGGGATCAGACATGGAACATTGGGGAAGAAGCTATTAGTTTGTGACAAACACCTGACACACTCCTTCAGCTTATCCTCTCATCCCAATAATACACACTTTTCAGACACATCAATTTCCTCTTCTTCTGTTTTTTTTAATTACTATTTTATGATAAAAGCCCACTCATGATTGGTATATCCCAAACCAAAGAGTGCGAGTTTAAATTTCAGGGGAAATTCAATCTGCATTTTCAATAATATAATTTTTTTCTCTAGGCACAAGTATCCTTCTATTCGAAACAATCTTGTTTGAAATGTTATCGGGTACTGGATGTGACCAGCTCTCCTAATAGCCGGATTTTGGTTCGTCATATTGTAAAGGACTAATCTCTTCTACTAAATCCAATAACTTTAATGGTTCAGTAATACTACCTCCAGTCTTAATTATAAAATTTCATTTATAGATTACAAATGATATCTTGTAATTAGGGTCGGAAGTAATATAGTTATATTCTTACATGATTTTAATACTGTTCAGAAGGGTCTTTAATGTTGAGGGGCCTGAGGAAGGTTATGGAGAGCTTGTGCAGGCCTAAGTGGACACAAACCCATTGAGTGAGTCTTGGATAAGAAATTAAATGAGAGTTTAATGTAACCAATTTTTTGTCAGTTTCTCCGTGGCGTTATGTCATCCTAATGTCCATTCATCAGAGTGTTATTTTTTTTTCTTTTTTGCAATAAAAAATAAATATGTCATTAATTGGATTCATATGTGTATGACTCAGTCCAAAGCTAAAACAAGATTAATTATTTATTTAATCTTGTTTATGAATTCTACGGAATCACAAATTAAGAAGATACAGATCTCTGGGCATATATAAACTACACAATACTACCAATATTTCTTGTTTTAAAAGGACACAACGGTCAAATAATCTCCATTCTCAAATCACATGCCTGGTTTTCCAGAATTTTGGACCCAATTTCAGTCTTCAAACCAGTCCCTTCTGAATTGCTCAGAGCTCTTTGTTTCCATTCAACATTTATATTCCAACTTGCTTGCCATGCATGTGATGAAGTGACTTTTTTACAGTTTACTTTTTTTATTTATGTTCTTGTGTTAAAAAAATCCTTAAAAATACCTCTTAAATTTCAAAATCTTAAATCAGAAATTACTACAAAAAATATATTGTCATTTGCTTTTCAAGTATAGTTAATTGCTATTAAAATGTAGTAAATAAGACTTTTTTGAAATTTTGAAATTCAAGAGTTTTTTTTTCTCATTGAATATTATTAAAAAAATTACTGCAAATTTCACACCAGCAATTTAATAACTAAAAATTAAAAAGTTTATAATAATGAGCAGTATATACCTATTGTAATTTCTTGGACCCGTTCTTGTCATTGACTCATTGCATGGGGCTCATTGACTCATTAATATGTACCTACTCACATGCTTTTCCCAACATTATATTTACTTTTCAAGACTAAAAATTATTATGAGATTTGGAATTGTTATTATAATCTTGTGATATTTAGTTTTTTTTATAGTAATATATTTTTGTGTTCATGTGCACAAAATTCATGAATGATGGTGGACATACATTATTTTCTTCAGTTGTACTCAAAGTCAAATTCCCAGTGTTATGATATCTTTGGGATTAAGTAATTTAATTAGTCAATTACACTTCTTTTCCATCAAAATTATGTCACAAGCGACCCAGTAAATATTAAAAAATTAGATATGATCATCGTTATGTGGAATTTCTGAGTGAATAAAAATATTAATAATTGAAATAGCAATTAATTTCATTGTAAATACAGCATCTTTCACTCAAATTTGAATGTCTTTAGTTGTAATAATTTCAAATAATTATTTATTTGAATTCAACAAATATTGGAAAATTCTTCGATCAGCTTCCAACCCTACGTACCTACCCAAGCCAATGCGTCATGAAATTATTTACTCACCCACACCTAATTCTCTATCCCTCATTATTATCACAATTATTTCAATATACATATATAAGACAACTCATTTATTTTAATTAATAATCCGGTTAATTACTTACATTTTCATTAGTCTATGATGCCTATTAATTATTGCCACATTATATATTACTCGTGAATTGGATTAACTAACAAACTCATTGCCTTCCACTATTCATAATTTCATATTGTTATTTCTCTCACTTAAAATATATAGTTAATGTTTCTCCCATATATATTATAAACCTATATGCTCTATTGACTATTGTTACCTAACGAAGAATTACAATAAAGATTATTAATTAACAATAATTGGTAGCTAGTTGTTCTATTATTATTAGTCAAACGTGCACAATCTGAACGGTTGAACCATTAACTCTATATTCGATTTTATTTTCATCTCTTAGCTTTATTAAGTATTTTTGCAATCATTAAACCTTAACACAGTTATTTTTATTGGCACAAAATTCAGATATTAAACTTTTAAATGTTGACAAAACACTCTTAAATGTTGGTATATTAAGTTTAATTTTAAAGATAATAATAATTGACCCAAAAATCATCATTATTTGAGGTTTGCAGTAATGTTAATG